CTCATAGGAGGCAGGATGCGTTAGGGGGGAGTGTACCAGACAATTGAGCCACGCACATCTGGAAACCATCACTCACTAACTGTGTGCCCACCAGCAAGTTGGTAAAACTCACTGAGCCTCAGTTTGCTCATCTGTAACACAGAGATGCTGTCAACCACTGTTTTAAGTGAGGTGGAAGACCTTGGCCTGGAGTAAGGCCCTTGCTCCATTGGGCTCTGAGTTCCTGGGGGCAGGAGCAGGTTACCTCCATCTCCGTACCACCCTATCCCCCCTGGGCCTACCATCAGGGCAGATCCAGGGAATCAGGGATGATCAAGTGACTTGTGTCCCTTTAGCTGCGGAGCCGGGATGGCTCGGAGTACCTGATCCAGCACGACTCAGAGGCCATCATCAGCACCTGGCACAAGGCCATTGCCCAGGGCATCCAGGAGCTGGTAAGCAGAGCCTGGGGCCTCCAGGCCTGGTGGAGAGGGGGTGGCCAGCCATTATGCTGGGCAGCTGTGCCCGCTATGGGTGGGGACCTCTGGTCAGGCACAGGGTGCTGCATGGCACCAGTGGGTAAATACTCCTCCTTGCAGATGCAGTTTCCCCCTATAGCTGGGATGGCAGGATGGGCTGCTGAAGGAACAGCCTTCCTTAAGTATGTGAATCTAGGCCCTGGGGTTGGCCCTGCAGGATAACTCTATAGCTGGGGGTGGGGATACATCCTAATTTCCCATTTCAAGGGAGGCAGAAGGAAAAGTAAATATTCTGAAAACCAGTCTCAGGCCAAACGACAAGCTCAAACTAGGAGAGAAAACTTAAAAGGATCGAATGCAGGAGTCTACCATATTTTAGGTTCAAAATGTCAATTACATAAGTAGAGATGGGGCAGGCTCTCTCTGACAACTATTCACCTGGAAATGACCTGCGACTTTTTGACCCTTAATTCCTTATAAGCCCACAATGGGTGCAGCTTTTGGTTGTATTAATAGAGGTAGGAATCCAGATCCAGGGAGGTGATGCTAGTGCGGTTGTTGATGGTGCTCTGGCCCCAGGTGGAATTGCAAGCTCAGAACCGGGAGCCACATATTGAGGCGTGCTAGCCTGGTGCGGTGCGTACAGAGGAGCTGAGGACGATATGGAAGCGGGAACTGGGAGGTGGGGAGGGGCCGTCAGGATAAGAAAGGGGGGGGGACAGGATGTTTGTCTACAGCACCTTGAGGGCTCTCTGCAGCTGAGAGGGGTGAAGGTTATGAGGTTCCCTGGTGGAGGTGAGGGGGCTTAACCTGGTTAAGGGAACTCTTTGCTGAGGCTCTCCACGCCACGCCTGGTGGGAGGGCTTTTCGGGTCGCTTGCTCCATCCGAGAAGGACCCCCAGCTGGTCCAAGGCCCTACTTTCTGAGGCTGCGCGATTCCAGTCCGCAGACCTGCGCCGGGAGCAGGAAAGCGAGAGCAGCGTGGACTTCAGGTCGAGTGAGCGCCTGGGAAGCTGGCGAGAGAAAGAGGATGACGGGCGGCCGGGTGCAGGTGTGCGCGGTGGGCGGAGCGTCCGGAGACCTCTTTTGAGGGGTGGTGACGTCCCATTTGGGGCCTACCAGCCAACCATGACGCCACCGACTGACTCAGTCCCGCGTTCCCCTGCTGCAGCCCCGGGGCCTGGGGGCCTGGAGAGTGACTTGAGCAAGGTCCGGCACAAGCTGCGCAAGTTCCTCCAGAGGCGGCCC